TTTTTATATCACAGAAGTTATCCAATTATTTTCGTCGATCATCAGGTGAAGCGATACTTTTTTCAAGGGACTGTATAAGCTTAAAATATTTTTCACCAAAAATTTTTTAAGACATAATCTTGTTTAAAGTAAAAATGTAATCTATTTTGAATAGTTGTAGCTTTACTTAGAGGACCCTTTTTGATATAAAAATATATTTATTAAAAAGCTTTAATGATGTAGTTTTGTTTTGTGTTAATAATGAGGTTCATGTTTATTATGAAATAATGAATTGTTTTAAAAAGACTATTTGTTATAGTGCAAGTCACTTAGTCCCACAACTTTCTGCGCCACATCGCCAATTTTGGGAAAAATTCCCAATCAAAAATGCAAAAAAAATTTTATGGTCACATGATTTTTGTTTGTTGTAAAATTCTTATTTGATTCATGTCTGGGAAATTCACGTGATAAAAGATCAGCAATATAAAAAAAAATTTTTATTTTTATTTTGTTTCAATCCGCCTATTTTTGATATTAACTTTTTTGCGTGTAACACGCCATTTCAGGGCTAAAACATAGTAAATTCGGTAAACTTGTGCAACTTTGAAGCTCAAATTCTCCACAACAACATGACATACCAATGAGATGAAATCGTGATTTTGCAGAGGAAGGTCTTGGCTTCAAATACACGATTTATTTTTGGGTGTTGCATTTCCATTTTTAGAGAATTTGAAAATCTACACGACCAATAAAAAGTTGTGGGACTAAGTGATTTGCACTGTACATGGGCCGAATTTTTTATTTTTGATATATGACGATCTGCAATGTCCTGCGGCTGATGTAAAAAATTCTGTCACCAAGTTCCCTTTTTTATTATGTAAACAGGGTTTAATGTTTTCACCAATTATGTTATAGTTTATTATCATAAAAACCATTTTTGGTTAGAGTGTTCTAGAGGCAGGTTTTGCTGTGAAATGTCTCATTTATTACCTTATTTGGAAAAGATATTCGCACAACAACAAAAATTTCAGCACGTATGATATATCAATTATATCAACACAACCAGTGACATTCTTTTATATCTTGCACAAATTCAATTGAACAATAATAATAATAATAATAATAATAATAACAACAAAAATAATTATTCTGAAATTATTGATAGTACTAATGCTGATAAGTAGAAAGCATAAAGCAATTCTTTAAATAGAGAAAAAGTGTTTACCAAGATCATTCATTACTTTATTTTGCGTTACTTTACATAGTTCACTTGCGCACACACATATATACTCAGTTGAAATTACATCTTCTTAAAAATTTTACATGTAAAAGGGAAATATTATTTAAACCATTAAATGTTGGTTTAACTGAACGAACTGTAACTCATGACCAAGAGCCAGTTTTTTAAAAAAGTCGTCCTATTGACTTGGGCAAAGTTTGGATGAACTAATCTCATATTTTTTTTTCCATTTGAAGAAGTTGGCTGCGATGATAAGTGATAAGTGAGGAAAATTTTCTTTTTTTAAAAAAAAATTAATTTTGTAATTAATTTTTTATTGATTGTTTTTTTGTGCGAGATTGAATAATCAATCAAAAACAAACAATTAATCAATCGATCAATAAGACATTTCTAAAATTAGCAAAATAAAATATAAATATTTATTGTGAATATTTATGAACATCTTTCCTTTTCAAAGTGACCAATGCAAATATAAAAACTACTACATATCGATATAGTCCGTACAACGGTTTTTTGCTCACCAAAACTTTATTATTGAATTATTAATTATTATATAATAATGTTTTTTCTTTTTCTCCTCAATTAAATTTATTTTTGTCCTTCCTTCTTACTTCTTTAACTTCTTTTATTCCTTCAATTCTCTCTTTTTTCCTATTTCCATTTTATCCCTCATTTTTTTTATTTTTCATTGTAATAATTTTATTATACTAAACAATAGAATTAATTTAATTTAATATTCTTTCACCGTTATATTCTTTAAAAAGCTATATTGATATATATATATTTCTTCATATATATAATATACATATACAATATAATAATAAATAGATATACAATATAATAATAAATAGATATTCATAAAAATGTCGAATGCTCAATTTTTAAGAGAATATAAAATTGTAATTGTTGGTGGTGGTGGTAAGTTGTATGTGGGTGATTTGTATTTTTCATCTTTTTCATCTTTTTCATCTTTTTCGTCTTTTTTATCGTTAGGTGTTGGAAAATCTGCATTAACGATTCAATTTATCCAATCACAATTTGTTGATGAATATGATCCTACTATTGAAGGTAAGAATGATTTTTAATAAATTAAACCGAAAAAGAAAAAATATTGATAATAATTATAATTATATTTCTTTTAAAATAATCAGATTCTTATCGTAAACAATGTGTTATTGATGATGAAGTTGCTTTGTTAGATGTGTTGGATACTGCTGGACAAGAGGAATATAGGTATTATTATTAATTAATAAATAAATAAATAAATTAAAATTCCTTTTTGCCATATCAATTAATTTATTATTGATTTAGAGCTATGCGTGAACAATATATGCGTAGTGGCGAAGGATTTCTTTTAGTCTACTCCATCACATCACGCAACTCATTTGAAGAAATTGCAACTTTTCATGAACAGATTCTTAGAGTTAAGGATAAAAACTATTTCCCAATAATTGTGGTAGCCAACAAAAGTGACTTAGAAAAAGAAAGACAAGTTTCAGAACAAGGTTTGCTTTGCTATGCTGCAATTTATTATAATTATAGTGACGAGGATTTTTATATATAATGATTCAAAATTTATATTTATTTATATTAGAGGGACAAGAATTTGCTAAACAATCCAACTGTAGATTCATTGAAACCTCAGCTAAACTACGTACTAATGTTGATGAAGTGTTCTATAATCTTGTTCGTGAAATTCGAAGATACAACAAAGAATTGCAATTATTACAAGACATTGATAAGAAATCATCAAATAATCAACGAAGCGTAAATGGTGGTAAAAATGAGCATTTTGATTCTGTTAATAACCGTGGAAATTGTTTTTGTTGTGTTATTCTGTAAAATATAAATATATTAAATATAAATATATTAAAATATTAATAATAATGTAATATATTTATTTTGTATTGAATATAAATAATATATTGCTTTTATATCAAAATATATATAAAATAGAAAGAATACCCTTTATTTATATGTAGTGTTAAAAATGCGTGTAACTTAATAAAAAAGATACATATAGTCCCAAATTACCGTGTTACTATCTTCTCGGGATTATTTCTAATTGTAACAGAAATTTAAATTGGTACAACATGTGTATTCTAATTATAGATGCGTGAGTCGACTAACATTAAACCTTGTTGCTGCCACCAGCTAGACATATTAATATGGGGTGTGGACAATAGAAACGGACCATGTTGTGAAAAAAGCAATTTTGAGTTAGTATCATTATTATATGTAAT